TTTTTATGTCTTTCTCTTGCCTAATTGCTCTGGCTGATATTAGGACTGCATTAAGCAGGAGTGGTGATAATGGGCATCCTTGTCTTGTTCCTGATTTTAGAGGGAAGGCTTTCCATTTTTCTCCATTTAATATGATATTGGCACTGAGTTGGCTATAAGTGGCTTTTATCCGATTAAAATAAGGTCCTTTATACCTGTTTTCTTCAGGATTTGTCATGATAGATTTTGTAGTCTAGCGAAGGCTTTTTTTTTTTTTTTTTCATTTGGTACTGGGGATGGAACTCGGGACCCTGCACTTTCAAGGCAAGCGGCAGAACCACTGAGCTAAATTCCCGGCCCCAAAGGCTTTTTTATGTTTTTAAAAATCTATTGAGGTGATCACATGGTTTTATTTACCTTGTTTCTGTTTATGTGATGAAATGCATTTATTGATTTGTATATGTGGAACCATTCTTGCCTCCCTGGAAGGAAGCCTACTTGGTCATGGTGAATGATCGTTTTGATGCTTTGTTTCTTTCTGTTTGCTAGTATCTTGTTAAGGATTTTTGTATCTATGTTCATTAGAGAGGTTGGCCTGTAGTTCTCTTTCCTGGTTGGGCCTTTGTCTGGTTTAGGGATCAGGATAATGTTAGTTTCTGAGAATGATTTTGGAAGTATTCCTTCCCTCTCCATTACATTGGAATTTGAAGAGTGTTGGTGTTCGCTCTTCCCTGAAGTTCACATAGAATTTGGCAATGAATGCATCAGGTCTTGAGCTTTTTGTTTTTTCTTAATCAGTAGTGTTTTTATTACTACTTCAGTTTCATTGCTGGATGGTTCAAGATTTTTAAGTCTTCTTGGTTCAATTTTGGTCAGTCATATGTATGTAGGAATCACCATTTCTTCCGAGTTCTCCAGTTTTTGGGCATATATTTGTGAAGCGATTGCTAGTAATTTTCTGGCTTATTGCATTGTTTGTTGTAATTTCACCTTTTTTGTTTTTAATTGCATTGATTTGTGTCTTTTTTTTTACACTTGATCTTAGCCAAAAGGCCAAGAAGCGATATATCTTTTTTTTTTTTAATAAGATTGGCTAAGGGTTTGTCTGTTTTATTTATTCTTTTAACAAACCAGCTCTTTGAGTCATTGATTCTTTGTATTTTTTTTTGTCTCCCTTTCATTTAATTCTGCTCAGATCGTTGTAATTTCCTTCCTTGGACAAGCTCTGGATTTGGATTGTTCTTGTTTTTTTAGGACCTTGAGATGCATCATTGGGTTATTTATTTGGGCTCATTCTATTTTTCTGATGTTTGCATTCACTGCTGTAAACTTTCCTCATAGGACTGCTTTCATTATATCCCATAAGTTCTGGTTTGTTGTAGTGCCATTATTTAATTCTAGGAACTGTCTTTTATTTCTTCCTTAATTTCTTCTGTGATTCATTGATTATTCAAGAGTGTGTTGTTCAGTTTTCATATTTGCATAGTTTCTGTGATTTCTCTTACTATTGATTTCTAGTTTCATTGCACTGTGACCTGATAATATGTATGATAAAATTTTGATTCTTTTGCATTTACTTGGGCATGCTTTATTAGCTAGTATGTGTCTTATTTTGGTGAAAGTACCATGTGCTACAGAAAAGAATGTGTACTCTATTGTTAGAACACTCATGAAGTCCATTTGTTAAAAGGTTTGGTTCACCTCATATTTTCTTTGTTAATTTTTTGTTTAGTTGATTTATTTGTGATAATGGAGTCTTAAGGTCCCCTCTACAGTTGAATTGATATTTGTCTTATATTTTATGTCATTTAGTATTTGTTTTATGAAGTTGAGTGCACTGTGGTTTGGTATATATATGTTTATAATTGTTATCTCTTCCTGTTGAATGGTTCTGTTAACTAATATGTAATGTCCTTCATTGACTCTTTTGATCAGCTTTGGTTTGAAGTCCATCTGGTCTGCAAATAAGATAGCTAATCCTACTTATTTTTAGGTTCCCATTCTATGTACTATTGTTTTCCATCTTTTGAATTTTAATCTGTGACTTTCTTTTTGTGTTAAATGTGTTTCCTTTATACAGCAAATGGTTGGATTTTGTTTCTTGATCCATTCTTGCTAATCTGTCTTTTGATTGCTGAATTGAGTCCATATATACTGGTAGTTATAATTGATAAGTATTGACTTGATCCTATCATTGTTTTATTTTCCTATTGCTGTTTTGCTCTTGTCCTACTTAATTGCTATCTCTACCTGATCCATTCATAGTAGTGGACCCTTTGGCATTGTTATCTTTATTGACTCCTTCTAGAATATCCTTGAGAATGTTTTGAATGTTGGCTTGGTGGCTGTGAATTTCTTTAGATTCTCTTTATCAAAATTCCTTATTTCTCCATCAGGTTTGAAAGATAATTTTGCAGGATAACAGTTTGGGTTGGAAGTTGTTTTCTTTTAGAGGTTGAAACGCTTCATTCCAAGCTCTTCTTGCTTTTAAGGTTTGTGTAAGAAACCTCTTTTGTAATTTTTATAGGTTTTCCTTTGTAGATGAGTCAATGCTTTCTTCTAGCTGCCTTTAAGATTCTGTTCTTGGGCCCAGGGATTTAGCTCAGTGGTTTCGCCGCCTGCTGCCCAAGCGCAAGGACCCAAGTTTGATCCCCGGTACCAAAAAAAAAAAAGATTCTGTTCTTGTGTTGGATTTCTGATATTTTAATTATTATATGATGTGGAGTGGTTTTTTTCCTCAATCATGGCTAATTGGGGTTCTATATGCCTCATTTACCTATGTGTTTAAATTCTTTTTTCCATGTCTGGATGGTTTTCTGCTATTACTTCTGTAATCAGGGTTTTTATGCCCTTTGCGCTGCCTTCTAATTTTTCATTAATTCCAATTATTCTTATGTTAGTCTTCTTTGAGTCATTTAGCAGCTGCTAGATACATGGTTCATGCTCTCTTATTTTTCAGGTAATCTCTCATTAATTGATCACTAATTACAGCCCTGTCCTCTAGATTTGACACTTGTCTTCACATTGGTCACTTCTGCTACCCATACTTTCATACTTTACCCATACACTTTGAAATTTCTTTTAATGAACTCTCATTCTTTCCTATGCTGGACATCCATGTTTTGTATCTCTTTCTTTAGCACCACCAGATTTTTATTAGTGTCTTCTAGACTTACTGTTCACTTGTTTCATTAGGGTCATTATCTGACTAGTGATAATCTTGTTTAAATTCACCAAGCACCTTATTGAACTGTTTTACTTCCATTGATACCCTTTCAGACCTTTCTGCTATATGGCTTTTGATTTCCTTCCCCTTGATTCCCCTGGACCAGTCTTGGGACCAAGAATTGCAAGGTTTAGAGGAATTTTGTTTCCTTATCTTTTCATGTTTCTGTATATTTGTTTGTTTTTTGTGCTGGGGTTTGTGGGTTTTTGGTTGTGAGCCACTGTTTTGTTTATGACCCCCAGGCAATCCAGATATTGACAGAGAAAAACAGTTGTTATGGCTTTTGTTTAGATGTCCCCCCAAGGCCTCATGTGGTCATAGGTGGGGCTTTTTCAGAGGTGGCTGGACCAAGAGTGTGATTCAGAGGTGGCTGGATCTAGAGTGAAATTGATTCATTGTGCAGTGCTAGGCTCAAGGACACTAGGATTAAGGGTGTGAGTGCTCCCCGCCCTCAGTAGTCTGGATAAGATAGAAGGGGCAGAAAGATGCTGTTAAGGTCCCGGTTGTTTTTGCTTTTGCCTCCATGAACTGTTGCCCCTCTGCCATGTACCACCCTGCCTTTGAGCCAGCTGATTATGGACCGAAACCTTTACAAACTGTGAGCTAAATAAACCTTTCCTCCCTTACCTTTGGGTGTTGGATATTTTGAGGGAAAATTAACTAAGACACCAATTGACAACAACAACTATGTCACCATGGTTATAGTAGTAAAGTCAGCAATAACAGTGGTGTCAAATATCAACTGGATACTGACAAACCCTAAGAACCACTCATGAACTGGCCTTAGGCAGAGGTGAGACCTTCATAATTTTAGTGAGGACACTGAGGCCACCCAAATATTAACCAGTAGTAATTCAGACCACTAATTTCTGCTTCATGTAGGGAGCTGTGCAAAAGCTCAAGCATACCACTGGACTGCATGCCATCTCCTTCAGATCCACCCCCATTGAAGGTCATACTCACCAGACCTGGCCTCCCACCACAGTATACAAGATCTCCTTGCCTGAGCCTCCCAGGATCCCAGGAGATTCCTGTCTAACTCTCTCCCTTTCCAGGCCTATCTCACCCCGTCGCTGTGGTAGGGTAACACTTCAGTCTTGAAGTGAAACTCTTCTCTTGGGCAGTCTTTGATTGTCACTTCTGCTGTCCTGTGCTGTGAGAACTCAGGAGTGGAGCTGGCTAAGATTTGATAGTTTGGCTGCTCTGTTTCCACCCACATGTATTTTGCAGGGCCTGGGCCATTGTTGGGGGGCCAGTGTCCAAGAATAGAAGTTTTAGAGGTGAAATCGAATTCAGGTAGCCTTATCTTGTTTTTGTTTGCTTTGCCATTTTAACCACTTTTTTTCAATAGTACCTGTTTGCAGTACATAATGTTTCCATTCCTTGTGTGGAGTTGGTACATGTACACAACACATCTTCATTCCTTTCTTCATCCCCTTTCCCTCCTCCTCCCCCTTCCATTCATCTCTTGATCCCCTACCTTTTTTCCCTCTCATCTTTAGGTATAAATGATGTGTACAATATTCCAAAGGTTGAAGGACATTGTGACAAACTGATTTAAATGATTGTACAGAGTAGAATCCTTTAAAGCTATAACTGAAATTTGAAATATTTGAAATTCATATATTCGTAAAAATATTCAAAATTTGAATATTTTTCAATTAGTGCTTGATTTCTTTCTTTGAGAAGAAATTATGGCCTTTAAATCTTACTTGATGACAGTATAAAACATAATGACAGTAGTAATACTGTGTATGGTCAGATTTAATTTATATAATATTATATTTCATTGCAGGTACTGAGGATGTTGTGGGTCCTGAAGGAATGGAGAAATTTTGTGAAGACATTGGTGTAGAACCTGAAAACGTAAGTTTAACTCACTGAGTAGTGTCGATCAGTTATTTTTCTTTCTTAAATCTTTTGTCTCTTCACAAATAAAGCAGTAATAAAGAAATAACAATACATTCATTTTTATGATGCCACCTAAGAATTAAGTTCCAATTCTGGTTTGATTTGTGTGGTTTTTTTCTTGTAAGTAAGAAAATGTTAACTATGGTCACTTTTTCCTATGGTTTAATTTCCTATATGTAAAAGGTCGAGTAATTATGTACTGAAAGTAGATGTTTAAAATGTGGTGTGGGCATGTGTAGCTACAATGGCTGATCACTGAGGGGGGCCAAGTCACTGAGGGCTGTATATTTTGTCTCTTAATAGTTGTTTCAGCCTAACGTACAGTTAGTCCTAGACTTTGAATAATTATTCATGAAGGTTTTGAGTAGTAATAATTATGAATTTTTCACAGATCTTTCATTTTCAATTAAATTTAGCTCAGAAAGTGTTTTTAATGTAAAATCACTAAGTAGTTCTTAAATGTTAGTTATTTGCTTAATTATTTTTGTCTAATTTTTAACATCATGTTACTGTTCAATACTTTTTTCTTATACTAGAATGAGAAATCATTCTCATATATGTGTGCTGGCTCATAAATGATATAGTTTGATTTTATAGTAGCCTCCAATTTAGCAACTATATCCTAGGTCCTAAAGGAATTTGTGACCTAGAAGAAATCATCCTCCATATTTAGACTTTCTGAGACATCTGGTGCCTGTGCATGTGTTATGCTTTCATAGAAAACTGAGAATTGAGACCTCATACATGTTTCTTAAAACATTTTTACCCTTAGGATTTCTGTGCCTGTGGAGTCCACCACCACCCCTATTTTGCCCTCAGTGACACTTAAATTTTCTAAAATGCCTTGGAATGTCTTTCACTTAGTACATGGATTTTTGTCTTATATGTTTCATTTTAATGTGTCCCAGTTCATGTATCTTCGAAATTTACTTTGGTGTAAAAATTTGGGAAAGGGCCAGGGATTTAGCTCATTGGTACCGCACCTGCCTTGCCAAGTGCAAGGTCCTGAGTTCGATCCCTAGTACCAAAAAAAAAATTTGGGAAAATGGGGCCAATAGTATTTCTTCAGATCTAGTCCATGAACATAGGAAAAGACCACTTTACTGACTTTGAGAAGGAAGTTTTCTGCTGGGGTCTGAGGCAGGCTTGACACAGTATTTTCTAAGTGTTGCCAGAAGGGTGAGAGTGAGTTGGGTCTGGTGATAGATCTAGGGGGTCCATTCAGAAGACAGTAATGAACATGTGTTCAGAGGAGCAGGCAGAAGGGCCCAGGCCCACAGTCAGATGAGATTGGGATGCTAGGGTTAAGCTGTAGGTGTGTAAGGGTTTAGCTGAACATTTAGTCTCAGAGGCGGAACAGCCTGTCTCTGAGGGGAGTGCTGATGTTGAGTCTGACTAAACAGGAATGGGAGGAAAGTTTGTCACCCCTAATACCAGTACTCGATAAAAGAAAGCTATTATTGTCATCCTTTTTTGGCTGTTAAGAGTCCTTTAGACTCTGTTTCTGTGGGAATAAATACAGTGTGAAATCATGTTGAAGACTTAAGACCAAATTCAGAATATTGTTGTAAGTATGTATTGCTGTACTCTAATCCCTAAGATGACACCAATAGAAGTTGTATTTTTCTATTGTCTCTTTTTGAAGTCTTGTCTGAATTGCATTTTGAAAATGTTTAAAACTCACTTCACCTGATATTCATAGCGTGTGAAACTTAAGCAGCTGATAAATCAAGTCTACTTTACCAAGATAAAAGCAACTTTATTTTTTAGCTTCCTTACTGGTTAACTGTTTCATGTATAGACTGTTTCCTGGGGTGAATATCTGCTTTGGCTACTTAGCGATAGTTCGCTTACTTGTGTGTGTTCTTGGGCTCTCACCTTTTGTTTTCAACTTAAGTTTTTATGTGGGATTTTAAAGTTTTCTAGTAAAGGGCTGAAGAGAGATATTAAGACTATATAATTTGCATTAGAAAATGTATTAGTGAGCCCAGGATTTAGCTCAGTGGTTTTTCCGCCTGCTGCGCAAGCGCAAAGACTCGAGTTCGATCCCCGGTACCAAAAAAAAAAAAGAAAATGTATTAGTTCACCTAGGTAAATTGATGTATAGCAGTCAGCATTCCAAGAAACCTGAGGGCTGAGGAGAAAATCTACTAATATATGAATACTTTAAAGAACATGTAACCTCTTCTTTGGGGAAATTTTTCTTAGTGGCCCATTGGTCTCTTAAGTGACCATTTTTAACCTGTTTAACAATAATTTTAACCTATTTAGTAATCAGTACTAATCAGCCCAAGTCACTTGCCTAGTAATTTAGATATTTTTAAAATAAAAAGTGAATTAAAAAAAATTGATATGTAGTACCACCTTATTTGATGAAAAGTCCTAGAAACTTAGTAGATTCTTATGGATATTAATTTCCAAAGTGGAAAACCATAAAGTCATCATTAAGAGAAAGCTTTTCATTAATCCTCCAGTTATCAAACAAATTTTAGCCTACAAACTAGTTTGTTGGCCAACAGATAAAAGGACAGACTTTGTGAATCTCCTGAATGGTCCTCTTCTGGGTTTTTTTTAAGTACAAGTGGCCCCTTAGAGGCTCATTAAGTCATCTAAAATTGCTTTTCTAAGTAATTCTTGTTTTATTACATTTTTATATCATCTTGATCCCTTTCCCTATCACCATCATCTAACCCAGTTAGACACACAGATGTTTTGGGGTAGTTCTTCTAGTAGTTGAAATCAAGCCTTAGCCTCTGTAAAGAACTCACATTAAAGAGTATCCTGATGCCTGGTCAGTTGTATTATGCAAACTTGTATTTCTACTGCGTACCTGTTTCTGTCACAACACATGGAGAGTGTCCATCAACAGTGCATACCGGACCCCAAGCTAGGATTTGGTTGTGCCTTGTATGTGATGACTGACCAGAGGTGGCCAGCCCTGCAGAGTGCCAGGCTGGTCCTAAGAAGGCTCTTTACCTTTTTAGGACTGACATTCTCTATTTCTTAGTTACTACTCATTTTTCCTTGAGTCTTTGAGGTGAATAAGGACAACTTCCTCCTCCTCTCCCAGTTATGGATGGTCTTAGCCCTGTCCCTATGCAGGACTTTGGATGACTTGGAGCTGGGTGTGCCCTTGAAATGTAATTTTGTCTTCACACCCTCAGGTAGTTAGTATAATTTACCTTTGGTTCTTTGTGCCATCCTTTCCCTAAAGTAGCCATGTGAAATACTGATTAAGCAGTGTCGTGAACCTGAGTTGTCACAGTTGCTGGCATCTGTAGATTCAGAAGATTCACTGAAAACAAGAATGGCACTGAAGGGCTGGTGCCTGCTGAGAAGCAGTTGGGCCATGCCACTCATCCTGGCCCATTCCAGGTTCAGCACTGTTTTAAGTGGAACCACAGGCTACTTTAACATGATTTCCCAATCAAACGCAGTGGTGTCTACCTGTAATCCCAGCACTTTGGGAGACAGCCAAGAGGATCACAGGTTCAAACTCAGCCTGGGCAATTTAGTGACTTATCCAGACCTTGACTCAAAAAATTTAAAAAGTGCTGTGGATGTAGCTTAGTGTGAAAGCCCCTAGGTTCAATTTCAATCTCCAGTAAGATTTCCCTGGCAGTGTATATGGCTCAGTTCACAAACACTGACGTATATGTGATACATCCCCTGGTGCATATCTCCCAGCATCCACCATTTTATTTGTCAACACTCTTCTGCACCTTGCCATTTCACTTAATAGATCTTGGAGATTGTTCCATATTTTAACAGATAGCTCTACCTCATTTATGTTAACGGTGCCACAGTATTCCTTAATTTGGAATATATTTAGCAAAGAAATATTTAACTGGACCCTTATTCATAGGCATTTGGTTATTTTTAGCCTTTTGCCACTACAAACTACTACAATAAATACTGAGTATACAGCATAGTTTTGTGTACATGTACAAGTATAGCTATGAGATAGGTTTCTCTAGGTGGAATTGCTGAGTGAATAACTTTAATTTTGATTCCTTTCATTTCCATGGCTATGCAGCCAGAAAATGCATGTTTTTCCAAACCCACTTCAGCAGACTGCATTCTCAAACTTTTTAAATGTTTGCCAAAGTAGAACTCAGTTTTGAAGTTCCTGTCTTCATATTTCAGTGAATAAACATATTATTGAGAATAGAATCATTTTTAAGATGTTGGTGTTATTTAATTGCTGAGATTTGATTTGTCTTTTTCTTTTTTTTCTTAAAACAGGTAGTTATGCTTGTCCTAGCTTGGAAATTGGACGCACAAAACATGGGTTATTTTACTCTACAAGAATGGTTAACAGGAATGACTTCTTTACAGTAAGTCCCAAGGCTGTTAGGGGCCCTGTACCTTCCCCAGGTGGTTTCCTCTTCCCTGGGAGCTGAGGAGGTAGAGTGCTTGGAAGGAAATTAAGTTTTTATATCCTTATGTATGGAAAATGTTAGTATTCTTCTAGAGCAGCTATGTCTGGTAGAAGTAGGCCACCTTTTTTTCATGTATGTGAGCTACACACATAGTTTAAAATTTTCTCATTGCTACATTAATGTACAAAGGAGCAAGTAAAATTAGTTTTACTATATTTAACCCAAAATATCCAGAATATTATCATGCCAATTATCGTTCTGTATTTGAAAACAATGAGATATTTTACATTCTTTTTTTAATAATACATCTTCAAAAGCTGGTGTGTATTTTACACTTATGATCCATGTAGTCAGTTACTGTTACCTGTGTTTCAAGTGCTCACTAGTCACACATGCCTCATGGCTATTACTGGAGGGTGCATATTTAGAGCTTATTAAAAAGCAAAGGCTTGGCTGGGTGTGGTGGTTCATGCCTGTAATCCCAGAACTCTGGGAGGTTGAGACAGGAGGATCACAAATTTGAGTCCAGCCTAGGAAACATAGCAACTTAGGGAGACCTTGTCTCAAACAAAACATAAAGAGGCTAAGAATGTAACTCAGTGTGAAGGTTCAATCGCCAGTACCACTGAAAAAAACTAAAGGCATTATTAGCATCTGGCTTATAGCTAGATAAAGCTGAGTGAAGTTTAACTTAGGAGTGAAAATATTTGATGTCTTCTATTTCATACATCTGATTTTAGCTCTGGGAAAACTAGAACTTCATTATTGATTAAAAAAATAATGAAGATTTTGTGTTGTGTGGTCTAAAATTAAGGAAAAGATCAGTGATGTGTATTCACTTTGTGCTTGTGTGTATATGTATGTTTTTGCTAAGAGTTTCACTCAGGAAAACAAATTATTCTGTTGTATTATGCCTTGAAGGATACAGTTAGGGTGGATCCCTAAACATTTTAGATAGTATTAAAGATGAAATGTGAATTCTTAGCATAGTAACTTTGTTCTAGAATCCTTGCAATAACTTCTCTTTCTTTTCACTTGAACTAGGAATAATAGACCTTGGCTTTTACTGGATTAAAGTTGAGTTGGAAATGGTTTTATGATTTTATTTAAATAATTTTGGAATTTGTCATCTTTTAATGTCTTGTCCCTTTGTTAGTGTTTGGTGTGCTTTAGTAGTTTATGAAACCTTTTCATTGTTTTCCCATTCAAGCCTCAAGGCTATGTGGTGAAAAAGAACAGTCAGACTTTATCCAGAACTTTTGACAGATGAGGAAACTGAGACTTAGAGGAACTAAGTGGCTTGTGAAAGTGGCAAAGATGGAAAAGATGCCCAAGATTTCTGACCAAGTCACGTTTCCCCTGTAACGATGTTATCTGATGGAAAATGAATTTTATGTAAAACCTAAACCATCTTTTTACAAACACTTTCCTGTCAGCATGCTCTAGAATATTAGTGTAAGTTGTCTGAAATCTCTTTCTAATTGTATTTGAAGAGCATTGCCTTTTAATTTAAAGCCTACTGACTTTTCCATTATTTCCTCACAGCCATCTGATGGCTGCTCTTTTCAAGCATCCTTGTGATGATGGGTGCATGGCCATATCAAGATTTTATTTCAGGGCTTCAGAGACAACACCATCAACATTTTTCAGGCCCATTTTCATTGTTTCATTTGTTTATCCATTTTGTAGTTTGGGATTTTTTACATTTGTCTTTACAAAAGACTCTCACCCAGCCTTGCCCATCTATTTTAAGGGCCCAGGTCCTGGGAAATGAGAGTTTCCTGCAAGAGGTGGTCTGCCTTTGTTCTAAGAGGGGCTAGGTACTCTGTGAAGCCCTTTGTTGAGCAACTCTGTCAGGTTGTGTGATGTAAATGGTGGCAGGTTGGTTCTCACAGGTGGCTGCAGCCTGATCTCTGTAATTCAGGGGTTAGTTAGAAGCCCCACCCACTGTAAAAGCATGGAAGAATCTGCTTTTTTGGGATGTGAAACTGGACTTGGTTTCCTTGTCAACAAGGTGGATATAATTATTCACAATGACCTTTAAAATCCTTTGTAGTTCAAACATAGTCCAACTTCAGGTTTTAAGAACCTTGTTCCAGCCTCCCTAGATTAGTCATTTGTTCAGCAAATATTTGCATGACAGTAATATATGCCACGTGCAGTATTGTAGGCCTTAGGGAGAAAAACCCCATGAACAAGGTAAAGTCCATTAGGGTCAGGGACTTAGAAACATACTATTTTCTGGTAGAAGACCCCACAGTAATAATGTCACCTTTCTTTATACTAATTAAAAACTAATAATTCCTGTGTTTGTAAGGTATGAGTATTAAGTACACGAGAAAACTCAAGGTAGTTATTTCTATGCACTGAAGCGGAGAGTAGTCCATTTTTTGAATTATTTTTTTGCCTTCTGTTATGATTTAAATCTAAAATGGTCCCAAAAGCCTCATGTGTTTGGGAGGTGATTGGGTTCTGGGGGTGCTATTACTGACGTGCTGTTAAAAGGTAAAGTCTCTTCGGAAGAGATGGGTCACAGGGTGGGACATGGAAGGATGCGTCTCCCTTGCTGGCCTCTCCTTTCTCCCTCTGCTTGCTGGCCACCATGACTCGAGCAGCTTTCTTCCATGCAGGCCTTCTATGCTGTTTCTGCCTTGGAGCCAGCTGACCAGGGACTGTAACTGTGAGCCAAAATACACCTCTCTCCCTTTAAATTGTGGGTGTCAGGTATTGTGTCCCAGTGATAAGGAAAGTGATTAAGACATCTTTCATTTACAATTTTTTTCTGTTTTTCATTTTCATTTGATTAAATATCCAGTGAGATGTTTTGGAGTCAAGGTGGAATATGAATATATATATATATATATATATCTCACATATATGTATAGTATATATCTTGTACTAGTATACACTAGTATATGTCTCAATCCATTTGGATTGTTATAACAAAATGACTGAATGGCTTGTAAATAGAATTTTAGTGCTCACAGTTCTGGAGGCTGGGAAGTCTAATAAAGAGGACCTATTTTTTGGTTCATAAAATAATGGTGCATTCTAGCTGTGCCCTCACATGTGGAGGGGACAAATATGTCCCCTTGGACCTCTTTTATAAGGACACAACTCTGATTCACAAGGGCTCTGCCCCATCACCTCTCAAAGGTCCCCACTGCTTAATTTGGCCACTTTGGAGGTTAGTATTTCAGCACATGAACCAATGATTCAAACCATAGCAGTACATTTGGGTAAAATGCTAGGTTTTTAAATGTTTGGGGATGTAAAAAAAATTAAAATGTGTTTTGTACACGTACTACTAATAATAAAGATTGTTACTGTACAGTGGAGATACGTTAGAAATAGAAAGGTAAGGCCGGGGATTTAGCTCAGAGGATCCGGTGCCTGCCTCGCAAGCGCACGGTACCAAGTTCAATCCCCGGTACAAAAAAAAAAAGAAGCAATAGAAAGGTCATGGGTTTTGGAACCAGAATTTGGCCCCCTCCCCCAGTACTGGGGATTGAACCCAGTGTGTTTACCTTGAGCTACACTCCAGCTCTTTTTTTTTTTTCTCGATACCGGGGCAGGCGGTGAAACCGCTAAGCTAAATCCCCGGTCCAACTCCAGTTCTTTGAGTCAGGGTCTTGCTAAATTGCCCAGTATGGGTTTGAACCTTGATCTTCCTGCCTCAGCATCCCAGTGTGCTGGAATTATAAGCATGTGCTACCACACCTGGCTGGAACCAGAGTTTTGCATTGGTTCTGTCACTTCCTGGGTGTCTCTGATGACATCTGCAAGCCAGTATGGTGAGATGATGACATGTGGATTACCTAAGCACTCAGGAGGAACTGAGGATGTGGCCTCCCAATAGCCTGTCATCTGGAACAGGTGGTGGTGGGTCTGAGAGGACTGGATGGGAACGCTGTTCTGTGCTGGCAGGTCCTTCTCAGCCTGAGAAGGCACAGCTCTTACTGGATTGATTGATTCTCACTGTCTTGTTCCAGCTTGAAGGTTTAAGATTACCTTTGGTGAATTAAGCTAGTAGAGGACCTTAAACTAAAAAGCAACGACCAAAAAGTTTGAGAACTGTCTTCTGCTCTGTGTAGAGCTGATGAGGAGGTAGAGAAATGCCCTCAGGCTGAGTGTAGGGGTGGAGGTCCTCCCTGGGTAAAGGGGAAGCTATGTCTGATTTTATCATTGTGCTTATTCCTGTTACTTCCGAACCTGTGGCAGCAAACTTAAATAAGAAACCATCCCACATTGTATGCATATTTTGGCTCCTTAGAAGTGTGGCACTGTCACTCCCTGTGGCTGTTATTCAGTATGGTACACAGCAGACATGAGGAGCCTTGGGCTGACATGCAATTTTATAGAAAGTTCAGGCTGTCCTTAAGCTTCTCAAGCCTGTTTATTCATAGGCCCTTTGCTGGAACTTAAGTCCCTCTCAAGGTGTCCTTGCAGAGTGGCCACTAGATGGCATCCTACAGTTCTGGACAAGGTGACTCAGGGGCCTCTTTCTCATGGGAGTGAGGCTCTGTAGGCAGATTAAACTCCTTATTGACTCTGTGCACTCTGACCCAGGTAACTATCCTTACTGGGTGCCTGTAGTAGAACTATTACTCCGTGCATTTTATGTTTAAACACAAGGCCTGTTCATCTCTTACACTATATAGACAGGAGCACTGAGCATACCTTTCCCTGCCAGGGTGGAAGGTTGCACCCAGACTTGTGGCAGAACTTTGTGTTTTATCTTGCAGCTCTGCCATGAGACTCCAGCTGTTTTATTTTCTTTGCTCTATCATGATTAGCTACATGAGAGGCTCCTGCTTCTGAACCTGTGGAAATAGGCAGCATAGGACTAAGATAGGCTGTTGGCCCAAATCCAGCGAGCTCCCTGTGGCTTTCATCCTTGACCTTCTTTTCCAGAGAAGAGTGGGGAAATGGGCTTTACGTGTTTTGGAGTTGGCTGCTTTCCCTCCTCTTTGACCTTTTTCCATTATTATGCAATCAATGATAATTTATCATCCCTCACCATTAAAAACATCCAGTTCTGTAGTCAGGCACCCAAAGCAAGATAAGCCTTGCTGCCACTCCTGCCTCCCCAATTTACTGCCAGTGAGCACTTTCTTGTGTATTTTTCTTATCTTCATTGCATCTTATTTGGGTTCTAGCACCAGCTATCTAACTAGGCTCTCAGTATCTCCTTTTTGTCCCTCAATCTGTCTCCACAAAGAGTAAGCTAAGATAGAAGCTTGATCTCTCCCAAGGTGGGAGGTTACCTCCCTTGTTTGAAGGACTCAGTAAAAGCCTTCATAGTGGACCGCAAAAGCCCTTTATGGTCTGACCCTACCTCCCTCTCAGCCTGTGTTTGTACCTCTTTAATGCCTACTCTGTCCACTCCAGCCACAATGGTTTTCTTTTCGTCTTTGGGACTTAGCATGCCCCATTCTGCCACCAGGCCCTTGCACATGCTGTCCTGAATATCTGGAGAGCTCTTCCCACCTCTCCAGAAACACTTAGTCCCTGCATATCTTTCAGCTCTGTGCTTATGTGTCAGTTCCTTGAAGAAGTCCTTTTTGACTTCTAAAATAATCTAATTTTAATCTTTTTCAACGTCAGAAAAAAATAAATGACATTATAAATTGGTCCATAGATATTAAATATTTACTCTAACTTTTGGCTTTTAGATAGTTTATCATCTTAATAAGAGAGATCATGAGGACTTATTTGTAGTACAAATATTTGTAGCTACAAAAAAGCTTCCACTAATTTGCTAAAAATAAATTACTGTGTTCTATTATAGACCATATTTTAGTTTAATAACTAGCCAAAATGTTTATTTTGTTTTTCGTTTTATTTTATTATTATTTTTCCCTCATTAAGTTTATTGGTACATTTTAGGTATAAAATACATTTACATACATCATTGGGATCTTGTACTGTTACATGAGTATCTTGGTTCTTATTTTTTTCTCCTTCCCCTGCCCTCCCTTCACCCCCTCCACCCTTCCCTATTTGCAAAGTTTTTGTTTCCATTTTTGTCCTTTTCTCATAGTTTATTTTGATAATAACTTCCTAAATGTCTCATCTATTATGATTCGATAAAAGCTCTACAGAAAAGTACAAGTGACCATATAGTCCTGAGAAGCTTTAATGTGCTGGTGAAATGGTTACTCTTGGTTCTCATCTTTAAGCACTACATGTTGCAAACAGAATTAATTTGTAAAAATAACCAATTAGTCTCTTCCCTTATGAAAAATAAACACTGTTACTTAACTGATAAGAATAGGTTATCATTATCTGAGCTTCCTGGAAAAATGGCTTATTTCAAATCTAGGGCAGGTAACAAGCAAAGTGAGCTGGGATGTCTTGTGCCAGAAAGCAGGAAGAGACTGGTGGGGACATGTCATGGAACACTGGAGCCAGCTTTAAGAGGCTGCTGCCCAAATTGGGATGGTTTGTGCATCGAAGAGAATGCAGACAGTAATGGACTATAACACACCGAATTAAAAACAAAAAGTTCCAAATCCAGAAAAGAAGGGTGGTAGGTGGAGCTATATAAGAGGTGTGACTAAGGTAGAAGAAATGATAGGATTATAAAATCAGTCTTGTAGTTCAGATGTAATAAATGGTTTAGGCAGATACATACCAACAGTAACTGCTAAAAACCATTTTATGTTGTATTAGAAGGTCTTTAAGGATGATTCCAACACTGCTACAGAAATTGCAGTAGGAGAGGCACTTGACATGAGATAGAAAGGTTTGGTTTATTGTACTCACAGGTCCTGTAGGAGGGAAGCAGGGCACTCTGCAGGGGGTGCATTTGGGAGGCACACTTGGAAGGAGCTAGGACCCATGGGCAAGTGCCTTTATTGGGGCACAGGAGAACATGAAGTATGAAGAACGAGGGAACTTCACTGGTGCATTTGAATGGCACTGGGTCACGGGAGAACAAGAAGGGGTGCCTAGGGCAGGGACCAGATGGATCATGCTGGTGTACCTGGTCTCCTGGGTAGACTGCTCATGGAATATTTTGGGGGATGTGAAGGCATTAGGAAAACAGGATGTTCAAAAATTTACAATATGCATTGAGCAAAGTGCTGATGAAGAACAAAATACTCAAGTCTTAAGGTACCATCCTACAAATTAGTCACAAGTTTACAAGAAGAAAGGTACCTTTGGACAATCTGATGGAACCCACCATAACCATATGATTCAACTTGATGTTAAGTGTGATCAAAAATATGGTGAATGTTAAATTTTTAAGTTTATTACAGTAAGTAACAGATATGTTGCCAGTAATCTTCCTCAAATAGTCCCCCTTGCTTTGAACACACATATCCCATCACTCTTACCATTTTCTGAAGCACTTGTGGAAGTCCTCTTTCATGAATGTCTTAGTTGTGCTGTCATGGAGTGCTCCAACGTCCTGAATCTATTCAAAGTGTTTACCTTTTATGGTCATTTGACTTTGGGGAAGAGTTAGAAGTTGCATGGTGCCAGATCTGGTGAATAAATTGGATGAGAAAACCATGTTTTTAGGAGCTTGCCTTTCCATTGGATGGCACTCAGCAGCAGATTCATTGTATTTTTAATCATACCTCATAAAGACTTAAAAAAGAGCTTCCAGAATTGCTTCAGAAAGTGGCAAGAATAATGGGGATAAGTGTTGTGAAGTGATTTTAAGGGAATTAGTAGCAATGTGGCTTTTACTGTAATAAAATTTTAAAAATATAAATACCATATTTTCATCACCCCTTATATCTGTAATAATGAGATAGACTGACATGATGAGCCATTGTATGTAGTATTCCTGTCAGAAGTGTTAAATCTACATATAATCTTGAGGGGATTATTTGAGAGTTTGACATGCTGCCAAAAAAGCTGGTCTGGTCTTTTTAAAAAATGGCAAAGCTATAAAGGAAGTTAGAGGTCAGTTAGGAAATGTGAGTCTGAATGGAATATTAGCTACAAGGGTTAACACTGATAGAGTATTAAGAGTGATGGCACTACTAAAGTATTAGGGCTGAAGTGCCATATGTTTGCAGCTTTCAGGTGGTAGAGAGAAACATGTTCATTGCTGAAGCCAGCAGATAGGTAAATGGGCACTTAATCACTATGCAACTTTTCTGTACATTTGAAATTTATAAAAAAGTGTAGAAAAAAATAGGTTGTGATAGATAATGTTCCAACTTTAGGGTTTTCTTTCTTTTGGTATTATATTTTATATTACTACACAACTTAAAAAATAAAAAAAACTCAGGTTATAATTTGCCTTTGTTTTGTTTTCCCAGATGTGATACAACAGAAAAACTCAGAAATTCTTTGGATTGCTTGAGATCATTATTAAATGATTCTACAAACTTTAAGCTTATTTATAGATATGCATTTGACTTTGCACGGGTGAGTTCTCTGGAGCCTATCCAGATGTTTCCATCTCCTTCCTCCCTTTTTTATTGCCTTCTGAAGTTTGTTTTTACATGCCACAGCAAACAACTTGAAAACATTAACTCCCAGGATGCTAGTTAGTATTCCTATCTACATGTACGTTTTTAAAAACTGGTTCTTGGCAAAAATTTGTATGTTAGCAAAAAATTATAGTGGCAGACCTGCACTAGCTCTTGTGATTGCAGTAGCTTATATATGGGCACATGATAAAAACTGTTTTAAATGTTTCTTAGATAATCTTGAAAAAGCTTTTCTTATTCATAGAAAAACAACTGTTCACCCCTCAAGGTGCTGTAATAAGCTAATCGTTATCTAATCCAGTTTTACTTTGGGGTAATATGATTATATTTGGAAATCATGTAAATATCAAAACTAAGCTAATTTCCTGTTTGTCTCATAGTCAAATGTGATAGTGGTTCTTTGGAGGTGAAATAAAAGTTACATTGTAACCTGGTCACCATCACCAGTGAGTTCCAAAGCACGGATTACCAATCCAGAACCTTTATAATGATATTTTACTTTACAATATTTCTAATATGTCTATGTGTTTAATGGGTTCAGGTGGCTAGGCTTTCCTGAATGATTGCATTTTTAAATGATTTTTTTTTAAAGCTAAGAACTTAGGGATGATTCTTCCTTACCTACCACCATGCTGATCTTTTTTACTTTTTATTCTTTCTGGCTTTGCCAGTTTAGCACCAAAGCTTTTATATCATGGTGAATTCTGATGCATCTATAATAATACAATAGTAGTTCTCTGTGGCACTTTCATTTGTGCAGTATTACAACCTTCTAATAAAATCAATATGCTTGGAAAGGTATTGATATTAGAAATAAGATGAAATTCAGGTATAGTGTTTTACTAAATAGCATTTGCCTAAGTGTATAGAGAAGTTAAGTGCTGCATACTTTTAGGATACTAGTTTCTAGGACTAAACGATTTAGTGTTTGAGGGATTTTTCCCCCTCTCTTAAACACCTCCCAAAAAAAGTCAGCCTCTTTTAATAATATGGGTAGAAGTTTGTTTAGAAACATCATATTTTCTATACCCAAATCAGGTATTTTCTGACTTTCTTGTTTAGGAGTGGCAATTCTCCCATATGTCCACTGTGCTTTTCCATTTCACTCCTTCCTAACTTCAGCCCATTTTGGGTCACTTGTTGTGGCCCATCTCACAGGACTCCTTTGGCCTCTTCTTTCTTCTATTGCCTCCACACAACTGAGGCCCTTGTTACTTCTAACTTGCACTCTTAAGTTAGCCTTATTTCCATATTCTTTTACTTCTCATCCAACATTCACATCAGTAGGGTGGCATTCCTTTCTCCAGCCCCAACTTGCTCCCCAAAGCTTTCAGGCCCTTCCTGGTGCCTTTATATTAACATTGTGCTTGGGGTGTGAACAGCATGGAGGCCCTCACAACAGCTCTCAGGAACAGCCAGGGATGGTTCTGTCTACTCTGCAGGGGAAGAAAGCAGGCCACAGAGAAGTGAAGTTTGACTGTGGTCACACTGTTAGCAGACTGTAGATCAGGACTCAGACCAAAAGCCCCTGACTCAAGTCCAGTTTGTGTTCACCTCAGACCCGCACAATCCAGTCCCAAGCTGCTTACTTTCACATCATTTGTGTTATGAAATTGGATTCACTGTTGCTCACAGGGTCACCTTTGGGCCCTTTACCTAGAACCCTATTTGCATTCACACAGGTCTGTCCAGACGGGTGGTTCTGCTTCCATGTGTCTCTGAGTGCCTCCTGTCCTTTCCCCAAGGAGCCCTGATCACTCCTCCACGGCTTTGGGGTTTGGGTGCAGGCCTTCATTTTCTTGGTAGTTCTTTGCTTTTAGGAAGTACAGAAACTATAAATATTGGAGACTCAATCCCTTGTATGTAATGTTGAATAACACCACCTATATTTAATCATTACTTAATTACCAGAATGATTCAGTTTGCTTAAATAAGCTCAAAGATGAGTTTAACCATTTTTTTTTACTTTGTTTAGCTGTATCACACAAGTTTTGAAATCTTAATGTTCATTTTCATTCAGTTAGAAATATTTTCCAGTTTCCTTTGTGATTTCTTTTTTGATCCATCATTTTTCAGAAGTGTTATTTTCCAAGTGTTTGGGATTTTCCAGATAATCTTTCCATTATGGATACCTAGTTTAATTGTATTGTGGTCAGAAAACATACCTTGTGTAATTCAGTCTATTTAATTTATAGTCCAGAATATGGTCTCTTGTGATGAATGTTTGGTATGTACTTAAATAGTGAATATTTTGCTGTGATTCAGTGGAGTGTTTGTTCTCTAAATGTCACTTAGGTCAAGTTGGTTGTTAGAGTTGTTCAGGTTTTCTGTATTCTTTCTGATTTCTGTCTCCTGATTCTATCAGTTACTGACAGGAATGTTAAATTCCCCAATTCTAATTATTTTCCATGCCACTGCTGTCTTTTTTATTCTTTGCTTTTATGTATTTTGAAATTTAGATATAAGGGCTGGAAATACTTAGGATTGTGTCTTCCAGATGGATTGACCCTTTCACATTATAGAAAACAGTGTCTGTCTTTATTTCTGATATATTCCCTATTCTGAAGTCTACTTTGATAGATAAAAATATAGTCATTCCAGCTTTCTTTTGATTAAAGTCTGTATGATTTTTTTTTTCTTTTTTTTACTTCTAACACTTTCCCACCAGCTTGAACCACCAGTGATACATACATGACTGTCCCACCAGAGGCTTCTGATATAAACAGATATAATCCTTTTTATTGGTCTTTTTACTAATAAAATTAATAAGTCTATAATGGACTGAATCTAGTTGCTTGAATTTGAATAATTGTTGCCCACATATAAATACCAATTAACAAAATTATTACAATAATTGAATTTATTTCATTACATTTAAAGAAATTTATATTTTTGAATAGTTTATTAATAATTATCTAAATTTTAACATGGAAAAATCTTACAAATGCCTCATTGCTGGTCTATGTAATATGCATTTACAACTGCTGTACTACAAATTAGCTATACAGTATAATTTTTAATTCCATTTTAATGTTTTCCTTAAGGAACTATAATATGATGACATCTAGTCTGCTAAATCAGTGCCTTTCTCTGAATTATTGTAATCAGAGGACACCCCCCTCCCCCCCGAAGCGATACAAGCTACACAATGGGACACTCATGCATGTACCACTGATGGTTCAGGCCATTAGGAATTACAGCCCAGAAGTGAACATGTTAACCTGTACTTTAAATGTTATACCACTATTCATGTATAATGTGACAACCCTTAACAACAGTATCCTTTACTTCGCCTTTGCATACTTAATACTGTTGTTACCATATATTTTACTTATGCTGTAAATCTCATCATATGTTATTAGCATTTTGGTTTTAAATAGGCAAATATGTCTGTTACACTTACCCACATAGATACCATTTCTGTGCTCTTTATTCTTGTGTAGATCTGGATTTCTGTTTGATACCATTTTCTTTTTGCTTAAAATCTTTAAACATTTCTTATAGAATAAATCTACTTATGATGAATTCTCTAAGCTTTTATTTTTACCTTCAATTTAGTATGGTACTTCTCTGGATAGAAAAAAAAATTAGGATGATAATTTTATTCTTTCAGTGATCTCACCCAATTGTTGTCTGTATTTTCTCATTTCTTTCTGATAATGTCTGGTGTCATTCTTAAGTTCTTTGAACATAATGTCTTTTTGTTTTGTTTTCTGACTGCATTTATTGCCTTTTACTGCTTTTCAGCAAGTTGCATGTGGTTCCTAACATGACTTTCCTGGTGCTATTCTTGTTGGAATTTGTTGAGTTTTTTTGGATTTTTGGGTTTATAGTTTATATTAAGTTGCAAGTATTTCAGCTGTTATGTCTTCAGATACCTTTTCTGTTCTCCTTTGCTATCCTTGGAATATAAATATATGTTACATTGCTTGATGCTGTCCCACAAGCCTACTGATACTGTGATCATTTTTTTTTTTTCTGTTTTTTGCTCAACCTGTTTCTTTTCGGATAGTTTTTATTATGGTCTTTCCAGTATTAATCTTTTGTTTTGGAGGATCTGTTCTATTAATCTCATACTGTATTTTTCATCTCTAACAGTTCCAACAGTTCCATTTTTTTTGTGCCACCTTGAATATATAGAACTTTTTTTTGGTAGTGTTTAACAAACTTTTCTTTTGGTTTTCATCATCTCTGTCATTTCTGACTCTTTTATTGGTTGATTTTTCTCTTATAAGTCATATTGTCCAATTTTTTTACTTTCCTACAAGTAGTTTTTTTTATTAGAGCTGGATATTGTGAATTTTATGTTGTTTGGTTTTTGGGTTTGTTTTATGAAATAGTGTTGGATTTTTTTTTCCTGGTGCATGATTAACTTGGAATCAATTTGATACTTTGAAACCCCAGGTTTAACAAGAGCTACCTTTATTTTAGCAGTGATTTAGACTTACCAATAAGGCAATAATATCCTTTTGAGGGCTCTCCTCAGTATACCCTATAAATTAGGATATTTTTCATGGTAGCTGGTAGAAATATAAACCATCTCCAACCCTGTGTAAGTTCTAGGAATTTCTGCTTAGTTGTTTGTAGTACAGTATATTTCTCCAAATTCAGGTTGCTTCCTCTCAAATATGCACAGATCAGTACTTGGCCCAAGACTTGAGGATGCTTTTTGGAGATTTCCAGACCTTTCTCTTTGACTCCTAGCTCACTAGTAATTTACCTCACAAAATATAAGTTCCCCTTTTCTCTTCAACCTCCATGATCTGTTTTTTTTCCAACTCAGCAAAACCACTGAGTTTGGCTTGAGTTTCCCTTTCCTTTGTTATGACTTGAAAACCACCTTCATAGTGTGAGCTGGTATCACATGCGTTTGTTTCCTTTTTCTCAGGGATCATGGTCCTGGGCTGCTTGTTTTCAGAGTAAGCTGTCACTTTG